CTTTGGATTCACTTCTCCGCCAGTCCTACCTTTCCGAAAGTGGTTGATTTTCTGTTTCTAGAGTTGCTGTTCTTCTTCTCTTCGATCTCCCGTTGGATTTGTAGGTGTTTGCAATCTTTAGATAAGCTATCTAGCTGATCTCCCGCTACCTGAAGTAGTCTCAGCCTGCTACTTATCCGCCATCTTGACTCTCCATACTACTTTTACTTTTCTAATTCAATCACAGAATTATTTAATTCAATAAATTTAAAAATTAGAGAGCAGTATATTTACTTTAAACAAATGCAATTAAACAATTAAAAATATGTCTGATATCTAGCATTTATTAATTTGAAATAGTTATACTTCTCTCAACCAATGAGTTTAATCTTAGGTGCAAAGAATTTATACCTGACTCCTCTTCACGTTGGCTGTTCAAAGCAAAACTCGCGAGCTAACGCTAGCACTTATACAGCACTGCATGATCACATTTTCTCTCCTAACTGCTTGTGGCTCTATCTTCCGGCCTATTCTATTTTTCTTGTTTCATAGTTCTTATTTTTAACGGATTCTTCTTGCATGACTACAGCCATCTTTTTAAATAAGGAGGAAGGAAAAAATGTGTTAAGTATTGTTCCCTAATCTGTAACAATTACACTGCCTACCATCATATAAGGACACATTCTGTACCAATAAACCATTCATGTTTATATGACATTTTATCTTACCAATAAAGGTAGCCCAGATCCACTACCAGAACTCTGTGACTGGTCAATAAGGTCTTTTAATGATTCTCCAACTGGAATAAATGCTTCATCTTGTTCCAAATCACGATTATAACGACGTCTGCTTGAGATGCTCTTGCAATAATGTCTTTTAAAAAAACAGAAAATAACCTACATTAAAATTCCAAAATTACAAAATTCTAGGGTGAGAAAAATCTTGAGGTTGTCGATACCATTATCTTTCCTTCAGACAGGATCACATCCAAGTTAGTCTTACAGGATAATATCTCTTCTGTTAAAGTCAAGTCCAAGAATGGAGTTTATGAGGTAGAGTTCTATGTACACGCTAAAATGGAAAGATGTCTACAGTGCACTGGCTAGTGAAAAAAAAAAACAGATTAAAAAACAGCATGCAGGGTGTGATCCTAGCTATATAATTTTTAAAAATTATATATATCTACATATGTCTAAAAAGATCAGAAGAGATACAGAACAAGTTCTAAATAACGGTTATTTCCAGGGATGCTGGAGTACTCACCTACTTTACATGAGCATTTTGATTTGAATTTGTCAGTATTTTGAATTTTGTTGTGTCAAAATGAACAATGAATATAGTTCCATTTTAAAGAAGGGAAAAGGAATTTATGCAAAGAAATCAAATAAGTTCTCTGAACTCATTCTGATGGTTTTGAAGATTCTCTTCTTACAATTTCAGATTATGAAATATTTCAAACATAAAGAAAGTAGAGATTTAACTTCCACCCACGTGTACACCATTTAAACTGAATAAATATTAACATTAAATTTATTTTAAAGAAATAAACATTAGAAATATTTGAAGCTCCTTCCACTTCCCTGATAGTTCCATTTTCTTCCTTTACTTTTGAGAAACAAACACCATCCTGAAAGGTTGTTATGTCCTCTTCCTATTTATCTACCACCGATGTACATATTCACATAAACAACACTGTTTCTCTGGATACAAATGGACTTGAATGGCATATGCTGTATTTACTTGATATCCTTCTAAAACACACACACACACACAAACTTCCTTATATACTTATCCATGCCGATACATGTTTAAAAACAAGAGCTCATGTTTATTGATGCTGAGTGTGTCAGGCCTTGTTCTAAGACTTACTTCATCTTTACAAAACTCCTAAGAGGTGAATACTATTGCTCCTGTTTTACAGGTGAGAAAACCATGGCCCAGAGGTTCATCATCTGTCCCAAGTCAGACACCACCAGGTGGTGAAGCTGGGATCCAAACCCAGACTGGGTCTGGGAGCCATGGTCTCCATCATTACTATTCTGCCAGAGAAATTATTTAAATGGTGCCTTGGGTTCTTGTTAGAAATTTACCACAATTTACTCTGACGGCCACATTTGTTAATTCCGAAAGTTTGCTAATACAAATAGTAACACAAAAATTATTTTTGTGCCAGTCTCTTGAGCAGGAGTGTAAGAATTTCTTGAAGTTACACATACTTTTTTTTTTTTTAAGATTTTATTTATTTATTTGACAGAGAGCACAAGCAGGGAGAGTGGAAGAGGGAGAAGCAGGCTCCCTGCATAGCAGGGAGCCCAATGCAGGACTTGATCCCAGCACCCTGAGATCATGACCCAAGCCGAAGGCAGTCACTTAACCAAATGAGCCACCCAGACACCCCTCAAAAGTAGACATACTTTCAATTTTAGTGATATCACTAAATTGCTCTCCAAAGTAGAATAATTTATAAAGTATAGTAATGATATTATGCCATAAAATATTTTATAATTTATAATACTATATTTTATATTATAAATGCATTGATATAATTATAATAGAAATATATAACATATATTATACTATTATAGTATATACTATATGCAGAACATATACAGAACATATAGTATATACTATACTATTACTATTATGTATATTAGACACTATGCTATATATTATACTATATATAATACTATTATTATGTTTTTAATGTATTATAAAATATAATATCACATTGTGCATTTCCCCATATTCTAGTACAAACTTGGAACTAGCACATTTTTACACTGTTCATATTTTTTCCTATAGTTCATTTTTTTCCTGTGAACTGCTCGTCATAGTTTTTGCCTATTCTATGAAGTGCCTATTCTTGCTATTCAACAGGGATGTTTTCTCTCTTTTTCTCAATGATTCATTAGGAATTCCTTATGTAATCTGGATGCCAAATCTGATAATTATGCTACAAGAGTCTTTTCTCGGTCTGTTAGTATCCTCTCATTCCACTTACGGTGGTGGTTTTTCCTCCCTTTTGGATACATGCTTTTATGCCTTAAGACCATCTTCTCAACCCTAACATCATTAGCACGTTTTAAGGGTGTTTAAATTCTGATTCTCTCATTTAGTCCTTTAACCCATTTGGCACTTACAGTAAAGGAAGGAAATTACAGAAAGCGTCAAGTCAGATTTGTTTTCTCTCTGGATAGCTCAATACACTTAGCCATTTTTGAATTTTATTTTTAAAACCTTACATGGGTAATTGACTCAAATGGTTTAAAATTTAAAAGGCACAAAAGTACATGCAATGAACAATCTTCCTCCTGCCCTTCCCTGCGCCATCAGGGAGGAACTGGAAAAAACCTGGAACTGGAACTATTTCCACAATTTCTTCGGTAATATTCTGAGGAGCATTTATGTCTATTTAGATAAAAATACATACATTGCTGTTCACCTCCCATTTTTCTTGTTTTTTCCAGAAATGGTAGTGTACCGTAAATACTGTCCTGCATCTTGCTTTTTCACTTTGCAACCTATCCGGGTGCTCAGTCCAAAGCAGTACATAAAGGGCCTCCTTTTCCTTTCATGGCGGAACAGTAGTCCCTTGTACTGCAGTTAACCATTCCTTCACCAGGAACATTTACGTTGTTTCTAGTTTTACATCATATAAGGCTAAAATGAAAAAAGTTTTTGGCATACCTGTATGCAAACTGCTAGAAGTTAGAACTGAATTTGGAATTTTGATGGAATGCTCTACTGACCTCCTCTTTCAAGGTTATACCTGTTACAAACCCCGACCATTATAGGACAGCCCATCCTTCCCACACTCACCCACACCTTTATAACACTTCTAGAACTTTGTTTTTTTTAATAAGATTTTATTTATTTATTTGACAGAGATCACAAGTAAGCAGAGAGGCCTAGAGAGGAAGGGTAGCAGGCTCCCTGCTGAGCAGAGAGTCCGATATGGGACTCGATCCCAGAACCCTGGGATCATGATCTGAGCTAAAGGCAGAGTCTTTAACTCACTGAGACACACAGGCGCCCTAGAACTTTGTTTTTAATTTTATCCAAGATCTACTCTCATCTATTTTTTAAAAAAATCTGTGTATAACAGACTCCCCCAAAATGCAACTACTAGCCTGCTGTTGACTGAAAGCCTTAACCAATAAAACAAACACCTGATTATCACGTATTTTTTATCCGGTGTGTAGTATATGCTGTATTCTTAAAATAGAGTAAGCTCTTAGAGAAAAAATGTATTAAGAAAATCACGAGATAAAGAAATTGCATTTACAGTACTATGCTGTATTGAAAAAAGATCTACATGTAAATGGACTGAGGCAGTTCAAACCCATGTTGTTCAAGTGTCAACTATATATACTGGAGTTCCCAAAGAAAAGGAGAGAAGAGGAGAGAGAGCGAAATATTTTAAGAAAAATGACCAAGACTTTTTTTTTCAGATTTAATTAGAACTGTAAACCCATAGAGCCAAAGTACAAGAAACTCAAAGAAACCTACACCAAGGTACATCATTATCAAATTGCCCAAAACCAGTAATAAAGAAAAAAAAAAAATCTTAGATGCAGCCAGAGGAAAAGGGTAGATTAGGTATAGAAGAAGAAAGGTAAGAATGGGTGGTAGCTGACTTTTCAGGGGAAACAATGCATAAAGCAGCAGCATCTTTAAAGTGCTCAAGGAAAGAGGCGCATGGGTAGCTAGCTCAGTTGGTTAAGCTTTTGCCTTCAGCTTAGGTCACGATCTCAGGGTCCTGGGATTGAGCCCTGGGCTCCCTGCTCAGTGGGAAATCTGCTTCTTCTCCCTCTGCTTGTTCTCTTTCTGCCAAATAAAATCTTTTTGACTGCACAGGGGTCGGTGCCCCTAACCCCTGCACTGTTCCACACACACACACACACGCACGCACACACGCACACACACACACACACACACACACACACACACGGCTGCTTGAAGTTCCACAACTCACTGGTGCCTAATTCATTTTTTAAGTTATTTTTTAATAGTTTAGTTTGTTTAGTTTCTTCTTTTAAAAAAGATTTTATTTATTTGACAGAGAGAGAGAGAGAGCACAAGTAGGGGGAGCAGCAGAGTGAGAGGAAGAAGCAGGCTCCCCACTGAGCAGGGAGCCCGATGCGGGGCTTGATCCCAGCACCCTGGGATCATGACCTGAGCCAAAGGCAGATGCTTAACAACTGAGCCACCTAGGCATTCCATTTGTTTAGTGTCTTCATGCCTGATGCTATTTTCTTCTACAGTAGCTAATCTGCCATTAATCTTATCCAGTGTACATTTCATCTCAGCACAGATTTCATTTCCTGAAGTTTGATTTGGGTCTTTGTATCTTCTATGTCTCTATTTCACTTTTTGAACATATAAAATACAGTTGTAATAACTATTTTAATGCCCCTGTCTACTAATTCTAAAACCTAGATTGGTTCTACCGTGCTGTTTTTGATTCTTCATTATTGGTTGTACTGGTTGTATTTTTGCATGCCTGGTGATAGCTGAATGGATACAGACATTGTGAATTTTACCTTGTTGGGTGCTGAGTACTTTTGTAGTCCTTTAAATATTCTTGAACTATGTTCTAGGATGCAGCTATTTGGAAACAGGACAATCCTTCTGAGGTGGGACCAGTGTCATGTTTCTTCTAGGGCTAATTATTTCCAATACTGAACCAAGACCCCTATGAGTACTCTAAACAAAGCCCTGTGAATTATTAAGTTTTCAAGTCTCACAGCTGGTGGGAACAGACACTATTCCCAGAATTGTGTGAGCATCGAACAATGTTTTCTTCAGTCTTATCAAGCAAAACCCCTGTGGGTAGTTTCCTCACTTGTACGTGCTGCTCAAGATTCAGCTGAATATTTGATAGGAACCTTGTGCAGATATCCAGAGTTCTTTCCTTGTGAAGCACTCTCCTCTCCAGTCCTCTGTCCTATGAACCATAACTGCTATTCGTACTCCAGACTCAGTTACATCTCCTAGAGTCAGAACCTCCTGGACTACACCTGGGTTCCTCCCGTGTCCTATAGGTAGAAATTCTCTCTGGGCAATAAGGTAGGCAATCATAAGGCTCACTTTATTTGTCTCCTGTTTTTCAGGGATTAGTGTGTTTCACGGCCTGACCGGCAGCTATCAGTATGTGAGCGGGGCTTACGGATTATAGGCTTCACGGTAAGATAACTGCCTGGGCCGTTTCATTGGGCCCACTGAGGTCAGTAGGTTTAGATCTCTTCTCTTGGGCCGGATGGATTTCCCCAAGAAGATTCTTCCCATCCGTCATTTGAATAAGCCTGGCTGACAGCATTCTGGCATAGTTGAGGAGCCCACCAATCAGTATGTAAATGTTCACTTTATCACCATATTTTCACTGTAATACCTCACCCTCAATAATGGGGGTCACCGCTAAGAATATTATCTTTGTTCTTTCCAGGGAATATACTTTCTAGCTTTCTGTTAGGGAGGTGGTGGGGAAGTGACTCTCAGAACAGGAGTCATGAATCTCAACATCTGTTGTACTTGCCATCGAAGATGGCCCACAGCAACCCTTACCGCCCAGTAAGCATGTCCTTGTTTAGTTCCCTTCCGTAACACAGTGGGACTGACCTGTGTGACCAACAGAATGTGGCAGAAGTGATGGTGTAACTTTTTTTTTTTTTTAAGATTTTTAAATTTATCTGACAGAGAGAAACACAGCGGGAGAGGGAACACAAGCAGGGGAGTGAGAGAGGGAGAAGCAGGCTTCCTGCCGAGCAGGCAGCCCGATGCAGGGCTTGATCCCAGCACCCTGGGATCATGACCTGAGTTGAAGGCAGTCACTTAACGACTGAGCCACCCAGGCGCTCCATGATGGTGTATATAGATTTGCAGTTTCCACCTTGATCTCTTGGGTCACGCTAGGAAGAAAAAGCCAGGCTTCATACTGCAAGGACACTCAAGCAGCTCTGCAGAGAGGCTCACCATCAGAGAAACTAAGGCTTCCTGCCAATTTGTGAGCCTGAGAAGGGAGCTACCTTTATTTTGGAAGGTGATCGACCAGCTCCAGGCAAAGCCTCCAGGCGAGCACAACCTCTGCTGACGTCTGGCTGGACATTATGAAAGATCCTGACACCCAGACAGTCATTCCTGAGTTTCTGACCCACAGTGAGAGATAATAATTGCTGTTTTAAGCCACTGCATTTGGAAGTGATTTCTTAATGCAGTATTGCACAACACACAGAGCATCTGACTTTCTAAAAATAGATTTTCAAGCAATCCTCTTGGTTTGACTGCCACTCTCAACTTTACTTCCAGAGATAACCAGTACTGCCAATTCTTGAGTTTCTTGGAGAATTCTAGGATATAAACTGGTTGCTACTTTCTCAAAGTTCTAGCCTAGGAGTCTGATTTTTAAGATCTGCAAAGTCACTTATTACTCATCCAAAAGCTTCACAAGTTCCAAAGTTTTTTGCTGTTATCTCTTGTTCTCCTCATCCTAGTTGGACAAAGAAGTTCAAAACTCTTTACTGCTTTGCTTTTTCTTACTGGAGGCAGCAACAGCAGGCAGGCTCAACCTGTCTCTTTAAGATTTTTGCCAGGATAACATGTGAAAACCAGTATCTCAGTATGACTTTAATTTATATTTTTCATATTCTGAGGATTCTTGAGTCATTTTTTAAAAAAGATTTTATTTATTTATTTGACATAGAGAGATCACAAGAAGGCAGAGAGGCAGGCAGAGAGAAAGGAAGGGAAGCAGGCTCCCTGCTGAGCAGAGAGCCCGATGCGGGGCTCAATCCCCGGACCCTGAGATCATGACCTGAGCTGAAGGCAGAGGCTTTAACCCACTGAGCCACCCAGGCGCCCCTTGCGTCATCTTTTTATTTTGCTTTTAAGAGCTAAAAGTATTTCCTTTTAGGTAAATAGTTCATTTTCCCACTGAGCTGCTAAGGTTTTTTTCTTTTTGATTTATAAAAGCTCTCCATGTTTGAGAAATCAGCTCTCTGTAATATGAAATGCCAATATTTTTCACTGTATTCTGTTTATGGTGGTTTCTGCCACATAGTAAAGTTTTATTTTTATGTAGTTGACACAATTTTTTTTTAATTTTAAGGTTTTGTTTTCTGTGGGTGTGTTTTTTTTTTGCTTTTCAGTCTTGTGTCAGACTCAGAAAGGGCTTCCACATTCTGAGATCATTTTTTAAAAATTCTTCCATGGTTTGTTCCAGTGCTTTAATCACTTCATTTTACGTATATCTAGCTCTAATCTGGGTAAAATTTATTCCAATGTAGGTAACTGATTAAACTGCATCTTAAACTTCATCTTTTTTTTTTTTTTTTTAAGATTTTATTTATTTGACAGAGATCACAAGTAGACAGAGAGACAGGCAGAGAGAGAGGAAGGGAAGCAAGCTCCTTGCCAAGCAGAGAGCCCGATGTGGGGCTCGATTCCAGGACCCTGGGATCATGAACCGAGCCGAAGGCAGTGGCTTAACCCACTGAGCCACCCAGGCGCCCCTTAAACTTCATCTTTAAAAAAAAAATCTTTATCTTTTTCCATGTAGCTACCTACTACAAATCCATGTATAGAATTATCCAACTTTTCCCCAGTGTTCTGAAATGTTCCCTTTACCATATACTAAATTTCTTTATATTCTTGGGTCTGTTTATGGGTCTAATAATCTGTTCTACTGATCTCTCGGTCTATCCATATGCCAGTAAGATAATGCTTTATTACTGAAGTTTATCCCCTCCTATTATTACTCTTCTCTTTCGGGAAATCATGACTAAACACAAACAATTCTGAAGGCACAAATAACTTAAGAATGATAATGTAGTTGGCTTTTTCGGACAGATTTTCAACATTCAGTAGTCCAAAAATAAGAAAAATCATAAGAACTCATGAATGAAGCAAGAAGTAGAGTTGGGTTCAACTAACTGATTAGTAGTAAGCTCCTCTTTTCCCTTAAGAAAATTATATTCTAGTTAGGAGCTTATAACCTAAAGGAGATAGAACCAGAGAATATAAGCTAATGGCATCTGACTTGTATTCAACGGTCAGTAATTTCTTTGCACTGGCTTTTATTTTTATTTTTTTTTAAGATTTTATTTATTTATTTGACAGACAGAGATCACAAGCAGGCAGAGAAGCAGGCAGAGAGAGAGGAGGAAGCAGGCTCCCCGCTGAGCAGAGAGCCCGATGCGGGGCTCGATCCCAGGACCCTGAGATCATGACCTGAGCCAAAGGCAGAGGCTTTAACACTGAGCCACCCAGGTGCCCCTGCACTGGCTTTTAAAGAATAATTGCTCATATCTAATATTCAACAAAATATTTCATATCAAAATAATTATCTTACTTGTAACAAAAGCAGCTGGAGAAGATGATCATTGCAATTATGCAGACAGCCATAGAAATGAGCACAACCAGCCACCGAATGCTGCCATCAAAAAATGGACCTGACAAGGGAAGGAAATAATGAAATATACATATTATCTTTCTATCACATATTAAAGGGGAAAAATAATTTTTAGTGTTAAATTCTAGAAAGCTTGCTTATTGTAAAAACCAGAGAAAATATTTTATTGAAAATCATGATCACACCCTTTTCGGCTAACCTACCTATGACAACAGGGGGCAGTGTAGGTTGTAAATACTGGTTACATAAATTGGTCCGACAACATTCTATCGTCCGGCGTAGCTGGGCTTTTGGTGAATCCTAGAGGAAGAGTAATAATAAAATTAAAAATGGCTTGATATTTTAAGGTTGATAATGAGGTTTTTAAAAAATATTCATAAGTATAATTTCTAATTCAGCTGAAAGAATAGGACCTCCAAATTTTGTGTGTAAAAAAAAGATTACTGAAAACTTAGAATCTGTGCTGAAATAGTGAAGATTGTAAAACTATTTTTCCTAAAGAGAACGTATGTATGTGGATGGTGTGTTGGAACAATGAATTATAAATTACAAACAAAAGTTCATTAAGTATTTTTCACTAAAACTTTGGCTTATCTTAATATATTCCTTTTCATTTGTTTTCAGTAAAAATGTATCTTTTCCTTAAAAAACATGGATAAGACGTTTTATCATAATGATGAACTAGTAGGGTACACAGGATCTCAGAACAGTACCAAAACTACTTAGGTGGAGGGTGTCCCCGTCTAAAGAAAAGAGACATCAGGAAGAGTGGTTGGGTCAGCAGAAGATACTGCGGTCTGCTTACAACAACTACACTGAGACTAATGAACCCCACGGAGAAGCAAGTTGAAGCAGATGCAGTGAGGACAAAGGCAAAATATAGAAGCCATTTTTCTGAGTTTCTTAGAGTCTACCAACCAGATATGAGACGTGTCCCTAATAGGTCAATAAATGAGCACAGGAAAACACCGTAGTCATGAGAACAGACACCAACAATTATGTGTGAAGTCTGACTTGACTGGTACAGTACTTGACAAGTTATTAACTCAAACGCTGACATTTCAGCACGGCCTGGGAAAACTGCCATTCTGGACCAAAATAGTAACAGAAAGAAATTACTTGTCATTATACAAGTAGCAACAATATAAGCAGAAATTGACCATACTATTCTTAAGTATCAGATGGCCAGAAAGAAAGACTTCAGGAGTCTATGACTTGAGATTCTATCAGGGAAAGTGGGTCAAGAGTATTTGGAAACTTTCAAAAGCTCAAGTTTTATACTTTAACTGAATTTTTAACATTAAAACAATTTTTACTTGTAAATGATCATAAAAAGAGAAGAGAGAGACAATTCAGGAGTTATACAGGTGACTCTGAAATAATCCCAGCCCAAGGACACTTACATGAAGGATGGAATGAAGAGTACTTAACTGAAGATGAGTACAAGGGCTGCGAAGCTCCAAGAACAGCTGCAGGAAGGCTAACGACCAAAATGATCTGAGCCTTGCAGAAGAGAACACGTCAAGAAAAACCAAGAAAGGGTTTCTGTGGCACTGCTAGAGGACAGACACCAAGCAACGAATGTGCTGCTGACGAGACAGCAGGAGAGGGGCACAGATCAGCACTGTACGTGGAAGCTGCTCTCCCGGACACAGCAACAGGTCCTCCAGGGCGTCTGCGCTCTGCAGGAGTGCCTGCTCTTGAAGCCGAAGCCAGGTGAGCACACCCAGCAAAGGAAGAGAGAGGCCTGGAAGGCCAGTGCGATGGTAAGATTTTAGCAAGAACGAGTACTGGGCACTGAAGAGCTAAATGTTATACTCCTTCTTTTTTTAAAAGAAAAAGAAAACAGACTTGGCCAACTAGAGTTTGGAGGCTGCAAGGTATTATGGAAAAAGCAAGGGCTCTGGAACCAAAAAGCTTATTAAATCCTAGCTTTGCCACTTACTAACTTTGTGAACGATGAACTTCTCTCTGGGCTTCTGTTTCCTCTGTTGTAAAATGGAGGACAAAAATACCTGCCTTGTGGGGTAACTGTGAGGAAATGAGGTAGCTTACACCAAGTACCTGGCACATTAAAAGCAAACCGTAAATATTTGATAAATTCTTTCTGCTCTAGTGAGTGTGATATGATCCTAGTGGGGATTCTAGAACAAGCCAAAAATGCTTACAAACTCCTAGAAGAGTCGATGTGGCTTGACCAAGAACAGCAAGAGCAGCCTCAGGTCCCACCTTTCTTCGATAGTTAACCGTATGTCTGAGTGGGCAAAGAGCAGATGATCAAGGTGGACCATTTCTGCACTATTCCTGCACTCCTCCGCTCCCATCCTCCACCCATGTCCAATTCTGTGATCTGACCAGAGTCATGTGAGCTTAGATACTTAGATGTGAATTACAACACTGTCTGGAAATGAGGTTTGTGGTCCCAGGCCTTTGATCTGTAAATCAGGAGATGGGTGATTGTGCAAAGGGAGAAAGGAACAGAAACTGCCTGGGGAACCCTGTTCTCAGGCAGCCCAAGAGTACAATATAGGACTAGGCATGGGAAAGCAATTCCCCTAAATTATCCACGCATGTATGTGATCCTTGTGTAATAGTCCGTGTGTGCTTAGGGACGCACATAACCAGCTTAACAACTGCTCAGTTATATCGTCAATATTGTAAAAGCTAACATTTATTAAGCCCTCTGTGCTGAACTCTTTACACATAGGTTATCTCATTTGATCCTTCCAACTCCCTTAGAAGTAAGAAAACAACTTGAAAAAAGAGAAGCTTCTTGTCCCCAAATTCTGCAGCTAGCAAGAAGCAGCACATGGATCTGAATACAGACTGTGAAGCTGAACAACTAACTTCTATTAGTGAGTTCAATTTATGATACACCTAGTTTAGGGGGCTTGCCGGATACTGGTTATTACTGTGAGCCCCGTGCTCTAACCACAGTTCTTTCTTCCATATTTTCAGTGATTAAAAAAGGTACAGAGTTCAGGGTTGATAAAACATGCAAATGGCATAAAACTGGAAGAAATAATCAAATTAGCACCCCCCCAAATCCTTATAAATTACAGCAAAGGACTAATTCTAACATGATAAAATGTAACATAGACAAGTATGTAACAACTGTTTAACAAAACTCATTCCATTCCCATCCTCCTATTTGTGTCAAGAAACCAAAAGAACCAACAAAGAATGGAAGAGATGTGGTTCAGCAGTAGCGTGAGTGAAAGATGGGGATTTCAGCTGATGGGAAGCTCCACAGGTTTCAAGAGTGTGGTATGATAATCTGCCATCTAACATGAGATTTGGCTGTATTTAGAAAAAGAGAAAGGAGCTATTTATCTCCCTCCCCCACACCCCGGGTCAAACCACACTTGATTCTGCATACAACCCTGAGAAACCAGAGTCACTAAAGCTGATCACACACGGAGCAGGTGAGGTGACTGGGAACTCGCATTTTCACCAGGCAAAGATGAGAGGGTATGGGGAGGAACACAGAACCACACAGAAAACTTACTTCACACAGTAAAGGGCTGTCTTATTAAAAAGGCTTTAGATTTGTCCTCTGTGGTCCAAAGGGGTAGGAAGAGATTTATAGTCATTAGAAGGAAGAGCTTTCTAAAGATCAGGTCAGGTTGTTCATACAGATGAAATAGGTGGTCTTGGGAGGCGAGGACCCATTACTAGAGGTGTTGCACTAGAAAACAGACGGGATGCAATACGTGTGTGTGTGGGGGGGAGGGATCCCGAACTTTAGCAGAGGTTGGACCATATAACCTTTAAAGTTTCTATCAATCCTGAGAATTTCTTAATGATGGAAATAACTTCCTAAAATAGTCAAACCTTAAATTTGTCACAAACGGTTCCATCTGAAACTGTTTTTCAGAAACACTGGAAGGACTGCTGGGGTAAAATTACTGTACAGGATTTTGAAGAGATTAGATTTATACCCGACAGCCATCAGGATGTTCATAAACTCTTTCTTACCAGCCCTATAATGCCTTTGCTGCTGCTGTTAAAATAACTCCACTGAGATTTCCTTACAAGAGCTTGTCTCAGTGATACAAAGGTTACTGCCCATTACCCTAAAGTCTTTCCAGTTAGTTTTATAATCCATGGGTGATACTGTGACAATATTTTTTGCAGTCATGACAATCTGCAAACAGGATGATTCAAACCTTTTTTTAAAAAGTAAAATAATCTGAAAAAAAATCTGGAACTTCAATTAATACAATCTTACTATTTGAAGCAAGAGCTAAGCTTCCTCCAATATATTTGATTTACAAGAAGATACAGTGATGAACAGATCAGGCACACTCCTCCTGGAGAGATGAATACTTTTCATGTGGTCCCTCCCTTCTTTATTTCAGAGGCCGCAATGGAGATCCTTACCTTGCACTGAAAGTCAGATCCTTCATATTTCATACACCCTGAAGCTAATGTGGTTTCTCCCTGGTCATCTTCTTCTATGATGGCAAAGCAATGCCCATTAGTTCTAAAAGAAAAGACCCCACAAAACAAAACAAAACAAAAAAAAACCCGTTACATCAGAAAGTACCAATTAAATCTCAATTTGAATGTGACTGGATACGGATGGCCTGTAGTTCCTGTTTTTTGAACTAGAACTATATTCGTGTTATTTATTGGCAAAACTCTATGGGTTTTCAGGCAAATGAAAGAGGTCACGTCTGAACTAAAACCTAATGGTCCAAGGGGAAAAAGATTTCTTTTAAAATGAGTCCTCTAAATATGACTATGTAACTTCTCTTTGCTAATCAGAGTTACATGATCACAGAAAGCGGATTTATAAAATTTTACAAAGTAAAGAATCTTAATGTTTTAAAAATATGTGTAAAAATGGCTGCCTCTTTAGGGCACCTAGGTGGCTCAATCGACTGAGTGTCTGACTCCTGGTTTCCGCTCAGGCTCAGGTCAAGATCTCAGGGTTGTGGGATCAAGCCCTGTGAGCAAGACACCATGTTCAGTGGGGACTCTGCTTGAGATTTACTTGCTCCCCGCCCCACCCCGCTTTGCCCCTTTCCTAACTCGTACACACTTGCTTTCTTGCTTTCAAATAAATAAATCTTTTTAAAAAATGACTTCCTCTTGGGGTGCCTGGGTGGCTCAGTGGGTTAAAGCCTCTGCCTTTGGCTAGGGTCGTGGTCTCAGGGTCCTGGGATTGAGCCCCACATCGGGCTTTCTGCTCGGCAGGGAGCCTGCTTCCTCCTCTCTCTCTGCCTGCCTCTCTGACTACTTGTGATCTCGATCAAATAAATAAATAAAAATCTTTAAAAAAAAAAAAAGACTTCCTCTTTTATCCATAGAATTTTCAGTATTCACATACAATAGACAATAAATAAAAACAACTTTTCTATGAAACACAAAACCAGACTAAATGACAAAGAAAAACACATTTGGGAATAACAGACTGACTAAGATCGTGAGAGGTGCGTTTTACCGAATGTGATAAGAAAAAAGGGATAACTTCTGAAGAGCATCAAGAAATGTACATATATATGTACTTAATGAAATGTTATCATTTTAGTATTAGTATGTTGGAGTTTATCCCTAATATATTCATTTAGACCTTAATGGATAGGAAGACACTTGTGAAAGTTTTTTTTGTGTGTGGGTTGCCTGGGTGGCTCAGTCAGTTGTGTCTGACTCTTGGATTTTGGCCCAGGTCATGGTCTCAGGATTGTGGGATTGAGACCCATATCAGGCTCCGTGCTCAGCTGGGAGTCTGCTTTAGATTTTCTCTCTCTCTCTCACAAATAAATCAATAAATAAAATCTTAAAAAAAAAAAGTTTTTGGGTGTTCTTACTTATTCACATCAGTAAGTATATTATCTCTACTTAAAAGACTCTTGCAGGGGGCGCCTGGGTGGCTCAGTGGGTTAAAGCCTCTGCCTTCGGCTCAGGTCATGATCCCAGGGTCCTGGGATCGAGCCCCGCATCGTGCTCTCTGCTCAGCGGGGAGCCTGCTTCCTCCTCTCTCTCTGCCTGTCTCTCTACCTACTTGTGATCTCTATCTGTCAAATGAATAAATAAAAAAATCTTAAAAAAAAAAAAAAGACTCTTGCAGAATTATTACCTTTTTATAGGGAAAAATACTAAGTATGGGGCAAAAGTCTGTTAAAATTAATGATTCAGTTCTATTCTGGATTACTAAACCACTAACAGCACACACATATCAGGCACATACTACAGACAAGAACTTTGGCAAGAAATTACTTGGTGCCACAGTGGGGAACACACCCCTGTGACAGATCATCCAAGCTGTCACGATAAATTCAACCACCACCAGAGGACAAAACAACAAATCTAAGACATGGTGAGCTATTCATATAATTTCAGTATTTTACATGTATACTTTTTTGCTTTACATCTGGTGACATTCAAAGAGTATCCAATCATTAGGAAAGCACAAGGTCAGATGTTATTACCTTCATAAAAGGGACACAATTAATTAATTGATGAGTGTGTCATTCAGGGAATTTTTTTGGCTAATAAGTCAATTCTTTGATGTCCCCAAACAATATGGAATAGAATTACATGATCATTTACAAATGTGTTGCAAAGTGAACATAAAATTAAGTAGGAAAATTAAAACTGTCATATAAATCAGGCTTGGATTGGGAGCTCACTTCTAAGAAAGTAACATAAAATTAATTAAATATCACAATATCAACCCCTATCTTCCGGTAAAATATTTCAGCCAATTCAGAATTATAAGATTGGGGTGAACTGCTTTTTGGTAATCTCTAAATTTTCTACAATAAGTATCAATAAACTTTGTGATAAAAAGATTATTAAATAAACTCAAAATGTTAGATGAATACCAAATTCCTTTTATCTCCTTTAAAAGGGATATTACAATGTTACTGTAAGAAAAGAACCATCAACCATGTAGTAGTACTAAATGTTCCCAAATGCAGAACAAGAAGCTTTTTGGCTCTTTGGAAAGATACCACATAAAATTAAGGGGGAAAAAAATTAAACAATGTGAACAATTCCTAAAATAGCATCAAATGCACTCCTATTCTCATAACTTCAAGAAGGGCTGCATAAATACTTACATGCAAGTGTTATTAATAGCATCATCTGGGCAGTGTCCTGAGCAATAGCACTTTAAAAAAGGCAAGGTATCCTCTGGTGCTAAGGTTACTCCATTTTCTGATTTTTTCTGGTCAGAGTCCGATTTCATCCCAGTACCGTGGAGCACACTGTCTAGATTCTGCCCTGTATTCAAATATGAAATTTGTGAATAAACCATTTCTGAAAAGCTAATTCTTTCATTTCAATTTCCATTGAGAAGTTTCTAGGTTTTCTTATTACAGTATGGCAGCTACTGTGTTTAATCAAAAATACATTTCATTCATACATTTAAAACTTGTTAATAACCTATTGTGCACAGAAAAACCATCCCAGGTTTTATAAGACATACAGAGAGGACTGTGTCACAAATTTTGCACAGTGGAAGACAAACAATGTGGCAAAGGTAAAATATTGTCATGACTTGTAAGAAAGGTGCAAAATGGGAAGCAATTTCAGGAAGTCTGAGATTGTTTCCAATCATTTAAAAAAAAATACATGAATTATGGTTCTTAAACTCCTTGGCTCAAGACGTGGGACTAGCTAAAAACAAAACAAAACAAAACAAAACAAGTCCTTTATTTGTGCCTCTAGGTGGAAGTGGAGTTACTAAGCATTTCGTTTTGGACTTTACTTGCTTAAGTAAGGGAATTGTGAGAGCAAGGAGACTAATCTTATTATCTGGTGCCTTTTATCTCAAGGTCATTGGTTCAAATCCAGCCTATGCTGCCAGAAACTGAAGGTTACTGTAGGGCAGTAGTTAGCTTATGAAAATAGAACTGTGTTCTTGCATTAGAGTCAAGTAGCCTCAAATGACAGATACTGTCATATTTGGTACTGAATCTTCCAGGCTGAAAGCAGAACAGAACTAAAATGTTTCAGTAATTCCTCCTTCCCTCTGAATCAACTGAAATTGGCTAGCCTATTCCTGTAGGGCTGACCTCCAAAATGTAGAGCCAAACAGGTATAAAATACTAAGAGAATTGTGTATAAACAACACTTCATTATAAAAGTTAGATAAGTGGTTCAAGCATAATGTGGACTTGAATTTAAATTTAGCCGTACGGGCAAAATGAACTACTGAAAATAAAAAGTAGCACACAAACACATACTCATAACAGGAAAAGAATGTCCTGCTATTTTTTTTTTTTTTTTTTAGTGACTCCATGCTTTGAATTTTAATAATCTTCATTTAACCCTTTAAATTGATAAAAAGCTTAAAGACCTCATTTACTTTAGGAACATCAACTGTAAAAAGTAACAAAAAGGCATGGTGGGCAAGAACAGAAGAAATCCAGTAGGCTAAAAATGAGGAGACCTGTACTGTGGTCTACTATGGTCCTATGATGGTCTCACCACAGTTTAGCTGGCTGGATAATCATGGACCAGCCATGTCACTTCTCCAGACCTCATTTACTTAGTAAGACCACAGAACTAGAGGCCATCTGAATTCTCCTCACCAGCTTTAAAATCCACTACGATAACAGAAGGAAGCATTAATCTAAGCATGGAGAACAAATGGTAAATAATATACTACAGGCAATTAATTTTCAAAAATCTAGTGAAACACAGAAAAAGTGGTATAGTGTGGTAGAAATGAAATGGAAGTTAACAGTGTGAAGGTAAGGGTTCAAATCCCAAATATATCCTAGGTGTTATTCTCCGAAGCTCTTCTATCTCTAAAATATGGTGATAATAATTCCTGCTCAATTCAACTCAAGGTTATATATAGACATGAATGTATAATAAAGGGCTTAATTACATATAAAAAAGGATATAAATGAAGAAATTACTTAATAACAAAGAGCACACTAAAAGATCACCACTGCCTAGAATATTCAGAGTTACAGCATAGTTAACACACATAATTTCCCAAAACACTATCTGAATTTAGGAAATTAAAAACCCTAATTATAATAATTTGCACCTGGGGTTTATATTACCTCAAATATTTATTTAACAAAATACTGATTAGAGGCCAGCTATGTGCAAGCAAGTTACTGAAGCTGGAAACTCATCTGGTCCTTGAGAAACAGGGAAGGGCAATAAGACATAAACACACACACTGTGAAAAGTGATATAATACAAAGGTAAACAAAGGAAGGCGCCTGGAACACAAACTCGGCCTAGGTGTCAAAAGCAATGAAAACTAAGCTGTATCTTAAAGTTGTAAGATTTCCCTAAATAGAGGCACGGATGCAGAGAAAAATAACAAAGCAACAGCCTCTCTGCACTATCTCCCTAGGTGACAGCACCCATCCCAAGGTTTAAACAAATCTCTTTGTTGATGGTTCCTAGATTTACCCCTCCAGCCTTAAACTGCTGAAGTAATCTCAAAATTAACTTGTCCAAAATGGAACTCAATGACGTATCTCTCCTCAAACCCATCTCCCAAGTCTTTTGGCCCAACCTCCAAAATAGATCTCAAGTTTTTCCAGTTTTTTCCAACTTCACTGCTATTACCTGGGCCCATCGTGCCGTGCCACTTCTGATAGGAATCTCCATGCTGACCTCCCAACTTCTGTTCTTGGGCCCTCCCATCCATTTCTCACACAGGAGCCAGAATTACCTTATGAACATAAATCTGATCCTGTCATGCCCCCTGCTTAAAACCAATTAATGACTCCATATGCACTCAAAATAAACTCCAACCTTCTTCACCACACCCACCGCCAGCAGAATTTGGACCCTGTGTACCTCTCCAACATCAACTCACAGCACCTACCCCCCACCATGTGTAGGCACGCTAGCTTTCTGTTAGTTCCTACAATATGCCAATCTCTTTCTACTCACTAGTCCTGTGTTTACAAAGCATAAAATTATGAGGTCTGGGTGGGCTGAAGCTATAGGTTGTATTTCAAAACAAATACATGCAAAAAAATATTTAAGGTTTACATGTTCAAGTGTAACAACTGAGAAAAAACTAAATATATATAAATAGAGATGAATGGCTAAAAGAGACAAGTGACTATATATAGACACGTTTATACCACCTTTGTCATTAATGGCAATTTTTGGCATCAATGATTTTACCATTTTTTTCCTGACTAAATAATTTTTCTTGCTTTCCCAGCAATCTAGGGGCTTCCTTTGTACGAAGCAGAGAAAGTCCTCCCCCGTCCTTAAGGCACAATGTCTAGAATAGGAATCAGAAGGCAAATGGTAGGAGAGCAGGAGAGACCAATGAGACATCAATGGGACATCAGTAACAATTCTCCTTAACCTATGTGCTTTGGAGCAGTGATTACTGAAGGTGGCTTCCAAGCTGTCCTTCTGAATGGGAGTTTATATAGGACTTATCCAATTCCTTCTTCATCACTGAATACGAGGTGTGTTGGGCACTGACAATTAGCTACTTACTCTTAGCTACTCACTGCTAGACCATGAAGAAGTCCATGTGAACCTGGTGGACAAGGTTACATACTACCCAAAAGTCCTGAATGAGTGGCCGAGTGCATTAAGGGGATAAACCTCTGGGTTATACATACATGTATACCTTTGAGGAGGAACTGAATGTTTCCAACAACAAGGGCACTTTCAGTAAATGCATGCAAGAAGGGTATGTATGATGTAAGGTGGACAGATGTGATACCCTGCAACAGAGGCTGTTAGGCGTTATTTCCCCCTTTACTTTGCTAGCAACACACACACACCCTTTTTTAAGTATTTGCTCCCTCCTCCATGTGGTTCAGGGAAGCACAGCCCTACCCTCAGTAGAGACAACTGTTTTGTCCAATCCAACAATTTTAGTTCCATTCCCCTTGCCACCACTTACACAAGAGGATAAATTAATTCTGCCAATAAAGTGACAAGGAAGTCTGCTAGAAGAGGAAGGGGGAGGAAGAGGTGAGGTGCCTGGGGAAAGAGTTCTTTACCAATTAGAAAGAGACATGAGAGACATCCATTTGTTTTCTACCGAATGCTGCCAACTCAAATCTGCCATATCTACATGGGATCCCTGGCCCCAAAGCAGCCACACTGTGGCCATGAAGTGAGTTAACTTAGGGCTAAATTAATAGGTGGAGGAGAACAAAGTTGAAAAAGAGAAAAAACTTGATGAGCCAAGGAATGGACTTACTGAAGTCCCCCTACCTTCAGACTTCTTGTTTTGTAATACAACATTTTCCTTATTGTTTAAGCTATTTTGAATTGGGGTTTGTTGTTGTTACTTATAGTTGAAAACACCTTAACTGACAGAAGAGAAAGAATCTATTCCAGACTCTTTAAGTTGACCAAAGGATATCTATTTTCCCTATCTTCCTGTCCAACTCTTGATTCTGTCTGGTGGGACATGTGTCCGGCCATAGGTAATGGACTTACATTAATCTAAACTGACTGTCACAATTCCGTCTCCCAGTTTTTCAGTAGCCCTAGCAACTGTTTCAGTTTATCCAACAAAACATGATAAAATCTGCGAGCAGAAGGCTGGTTTCTGGGGACATTTTGCTTTCCTGAAATAACATCCAGTTGAAGTCAGTGCTGACCCTTTCCTCATTTTTCCTTCCTCCAATGCAGATAACAGCAGTCGTTTTGTAACCATTAGGGAAAAGTCAAGAAAACTACAGATGTCAACCCTGACACCACTCAACTACTGAATGAGCAAACTGCAAATATCTACCATCTACATCAAAAAATAAATCTATTTGTTTAAGTCACTGTTAGGCAGTTTCTTAAAGCTAAAATCCATTTCTAAAACTTGTGACCAAGCCAAAAACAAGAACTAAATAGCAATTAATGTTAACATTAGGTAACTCATTCTTTGTTCCGACTATCTCAATGTAAAGGACTTAAATCTTTATCAAAACATCTAATGCTCCAAAAATTCCTGTTTACATCTAGGATACATGTTATTATTTCTATTTTACAACAAGGAGACCAATATATGGAGAAATTTACTTTCCCAAGACACAACTGAAGCTAAAGTTGAAGATAAAGTCAAGTTATTTCCACTAACATCACTCTCTGGTCCTTAGTAATCTCTAAGAAGTAACATTTTCTTCTATATTGGTTTTTCTTTAAGACTAAATATTTTTATTTTATTTAAAGCAACTCTAAAACTAATCTTTTTGAAAGGAAATGTAACATATTTGGCTATTCATCACAGAAACATAATTCTTATTAAGATTTTTCACTTACACCTGATAACTAATTACCAATTCATTTCATCTAATAAAAGTTTAATTATAGTACAGTTTGAATCAGGGTAGGGAAAGAATTTTGAATTATATTGCCTTGTGATCTACACAGATTTAAAACAAATTTAACATCAAATACTGATTACCTGGGAGTGAGACAGCAAATATGCTACTATTGATTTAACTCATCTTCAAAACTATGACAGCTCTGGCTGATGCTGCTCAACAAGACATATACAAGAGCTGTTAAATAAAGGTATTTTATTAAATAATTTGGTATTTCACCAAAAGTGACTTTTAGAAGAGGGCTTTCTGTATTCTGAGCAAGAAAATACTAAAGGTATTAATTACACCTAAAATAAAATATGAAGCTACAGATTTTATCTTTAAAATGAAAATGTCATGGGCACCTGGTTAGATGGTGCCAATTGGTTAGATGTCTGACTCTTGGTTTCAGCTCAGGTCATGATCTCAGGGTCAAGAGACTGAGCCCCACATTGGGCTTCATGGTCAGCAGGGAGTCTCCTTGGGATTCTCTCTCTCTCTCTGCCTCTTCCCCGACTAGTGCACACACTCTTTCTCTAAAATAAATAAACACTTTTTAAAAAGGATTTTATTTACTTATTTGAGAGAGAGAGAGAGAACATGAGCAGAGGGAGAGGCAGAGGGAGAAGCAGACTTCCTGCTGAGCAGACAGCCCGATGCGGGTCTCGATTCCAGGACCCCAGGATCACAACCCAAGCTGAAAGCAGTGCTTAACCAACTGAGCCACCTAGGTGTCCCTAAATAATTTTTTTTAATGAAACTGTCAAAATATTTGTGCTGTTAATTCTATTTCTTAGTTGTAGATATTAATCTTTATTACTGTTAATGAAACATTATGAAAGAACAATCTGTGATGACATAAACTTAAGAGGATGAAGAGATCCAATAACTTTAATCTAAACTTAAGAGAATGAAGAGACCCAATAACTTTAATCTAAAAACCTTTCGCAAAACAGTACTATCTCTTCAGTTTGAAATAATGTCCTAATTAAACCATCTGGGAAAAAGCCCATGTGCAAATACAGCCCATCTGATCCTCAGAGTCATCACAATAATTTCCTGTTCGGGAGTTCCAAGCTGTGAACACAAAATTACAATGTTGTTCATAAATAAAACTTTGAGTATTCTATGAAAAAATTTTAGTATTTAGCACACACACAAATGCAACTTACCTTTCTACAGTTTTTTAATGATGATAAAATGATTTTTTAAATTATTTACATTTATTCTGTATTGTATTTTAAAGGAGAAAGGAATTTTAAAACTAAGTCTTGAGTACCTGTTACCCTGTGTCTTAGTCTTAACTAGTGACAGATACTTCATTTTATACTTTCTCTCATTTAATCCTCACAAGACTTAATGTTGCATATCATCATATCTATGTTATGGATAAGAGAACAGATTCAGAGAGGCTGATTTTAACAAATACTTGACAATGGTTCTACCACAGTCAAGTTCAAAATTATTTGGCATGTACTTATTCTTTGCCTTTTTACTTAAAAGCTATGCTGGCAATACTGAGCCTAACTGTTCAAAAAGGGACATGAGTAGAAGGAGCAGTTTCAAAAATGAGTGTTTTAAACATAGAAATAAATTACTGAAAAAGAGAAGATTACTTAAATGAACACTGATTTACCTTGAACATAGTAAGAAATGATGAACAGATAGGCTCCCAATAATTTGATGTAAATATACAGCTGAGTCATTGTTCAATTTTAATGTTTCCTATATACTGTCACCTCTAATAACTGGTCCTGTTATGTCACTATTTAAATGACTTTTATCCAAATGATTTTCTTGCAAAAGATCTCAATCACTTGACAATGACTTCAACTTCCACTGCTTTCTCTTGATTCCTGAAAGATAAAAATACAAAAAAGATAATGAATATAACTGAATTCTGGAAAGTTTTCAAAACTAAGAGAGAAAAACAAATGCTTAAACATACTTTTAAATAATGAAATACATTTTGGGGTTGGAGAGAGGGAGAGAGAATTGGGAGAGGGGAAAAGGGAGAGAATCTCAAACAGGCTCCACGTCCGGCATGGAGCTAAACATGGGGCTCAATATCCTAACTCTGGGATCATGACCCAAGCTGAAATCAAGACTTGGAAGCTTAACCAACTGAGCCACTCAGAAATGAAATACATTTTTAAGGAATAAAGCTATCTTTATTTCCAACAACAAAAAGGCACTGTAATTCAAAAGCTTAAATAATTCAGTAAATAGGTTGCCACCTCTCCTGATCTCAGAATAATCATATGTAAAACAAGTATACTAAATAACCCTGATAGTCTTTTCTGGCTGCTCTAATTATTTTATTAGTAACAATTTCTAAATATATTAAGAATAAAGCAGGAAAAAATGAATTTAAAATACGAAGCTATTCATCAATAATCTTTCAAATCCCAATAGATGTGATAAAAACACCTCAAATCTTTGCAATAAATAATTTATTCCATAGAATAGAAAGGCTACCTAGATAATCACACATATTTAAATATGCAGTGTGCTTCATCATTAAAGCAATAGAAATATATCTTAAAATTATTTTCCTAAAATATTGCAAATCTGACTTCATTAGTATAAAATTGAGCTTTTAATATGGATGATGTGAAACATAACCTCCCAGGTTAAGATCTGGCAACTATATAATAGTTGAAATAGGTAACAAAAAAACCCCCACTAGTTCGTATATAGATGAATATAATTCTATTTTTCTCCCATCATACTGGTTCAGACAATTGATTTTATTGATTTCAGCCTGAACTATTCCTGAATGAAAAAGATTTTATTTATTCTTGACACAATTACCCCAGCATGATTTCTACCACAAACAACCTGAGCTTTCTATTTTATCAACCTAAGAATTTTTCACTTTACTGAGCTCTTCAAAGGCACAGTATTGAGGAAATACGGTTTATAGAGTGTCATTTATATTGTGCATTTTAATATGGCTGACTTCTAAAATCTCTACAATTTCTCACTTCTCTACTATAAAATTAAATTGGTTCCCATCTACATAATGCTGAGAGATTTAAGACGTAAAATCTAAAATAATTACAGAAAACATCTATAATATGACTTAATAGCATTTCCTGGGAAAACTCCCTCCTTGAAATTATACAACTGTGATTCTAGGGATACTTGTTCCAGGTTTCAAACTCAAAAGCAGTTTGCAGTATAATTTCAACCCTGCTCTCCTGTCACATTTCTATTTGCTTATTAAGTATCTCTACTAGAATTACACACCACTCGTCTAAATCAAAAGCATTAACTCTCCTTCTGAACCCTCTAGGCCTGCCTCCTTCTGCATTTACTATCACAGAGGAAGGTGATGCCATCTCTTTGGTAACCCATGGCAAAAACCCTGGCATCATTTCTGCCTCTCTTACTAGCTACCCACTCCCCACCCTGCTCCATACTTCCACTCACTTTCACTCACCAAGAGCCCTTTCTGAGTACATACGACACATCAGTGCAAGGTGCTAGAATACAAATATGAGTGTGACAGTCCCCGCTTCAAGTAGCTCATGGTTATGGGCAGGAGAATGATTGCTCTGACTGGTTCCCTCTTCCAGACTCATTGTTTCCTCATCGATTTATTTAAAGCTGGTATGTGGTCTAGTATCACTAGCAGGACAACCAAGCCATCCTGCAGAGCAGCTGAGACTCTAAGCACCTGCCACAGTCATAGTCCCTTTCACAGGAAGGGGATTATGTGTGATTCTTCCCCATAAACATCTGTGACTGCTATGCTGGGCACAAGTTCAAATCCTGATCTGCCTGAAATAAGTAACCTGACCTCTCTGGATGATTTCCTCATCTGTAAAATTGAAATTACGTTATTAACTCATCATTACTTTAAGAACTAAATGAGGTAATAGCTAATACATATTCACTTCTAATTATGTACCAGCACCATTATAAATGCTTTGAATATAATATTTATTTATCAGATCTTCACAACCACCTTATGAGGAAGGTGAGATTATTATTTTAATTTTACAGATGAGGAAACTGAGGCAAGCACAATTTAAGGCATTTACTGGTAAGCGGCAGGGCTCTAATTCTACTCAAGAAGCTCAGAGTCCAGAGTCCATGTGTTAACTGCTACCCCAGTTGCATGTAGGTCATATAATGTAAATTACGTATCATAAAGTAGGAGAGCCTGGTACAGAATAGGTGCTCAATAAAGTTTCCTCCTCTCATACATATTTATAATATGTCACAGGAAGTAACAGGTGTGATCTATAACAATCTGTCTTGAAGAAATTCTGATAGCCGAAAAAAAACAGCTATCAGCCAACAGAAGGCTAAAGGTAAAAATGGCTTCAATTGCCTCATTTGTAGTCTAACAATGGAAAAGCCTTAATCTTTAAAAGAAAAATGTTAGGTTTTAGCTGACTACCAGCTCCATATGCATCACTGCTTATGACAACTGCTAAGACACGAAGGCAGCCTTATCAAGCAGGGATAGAGGCACACTGCTGTAATCAAAGAGGGTCACCACCTTCTTCATTCCACCTGGTCAGGCCTCTTCAACACTTCAGAGAGGAATGACAGAAATGCAAAGAACAGGGAAATGACTACAATTAAGATTACAACTCAAAGATCGGGGCCTTTGCTCACAGAGTATCAAAGGAACAAAGTGTGACTGCACCTCTGTCAAGGACATGACAGACATGACGGAAAGGAGTGATTCATTAGATTCCTTCTAACGCTGAAGTCCTGCGGGGACAGTATTCTTGCCACTGACTATTAATTTATTTCCTAAATATTTATTAAGTACCTATTATATACATGATTCTGTACTAGACACTGAGAATATACTGATGATGGCAAAACGGGCCCAGCCCTCACGGAGCTCACAGTCATTAAACAAGACAATTAAGATAGTCAGGCACTGAACAAGACAGTACAAATCATATGTAATCATAACTTGTGCTAAGTGTAAGGAAAGAAAAGTGCCAGGTCCAAGAGAGGCATGGGGTGGTGACCTAATCTCATCTGGAAAGACGAAGGGAAGCCATGCTAAAAAGCGACATTTAAGTTGACATATGAAGAATTAGAGTTAGCCAGGTAAAGAAACAGGGGTGAGTTCTAGGCATAAGGAACAGCCTATACAAGGATCTTGAGGCAGAAAAGAACAATGGAAGAATGATATTTCTGGAATGGTGAGAATAAGGGGTAGTTGGTGGGATATGGGTTTGAAGAAATAGGAAAAACAACGACAAGATCAGGCAAGAGTGTATGAAGAATATGGGATTTAAGTCTAAGCGGGATGGGAAAGCAATTATCTGGTGTCTATATAATGGACTGAAGGGGAAAAAAGCCAAAGCAAACAGACCAGTGAGAAACACAGTGTAGTAGTTTACGAGAGGGACAATGGTGGTTAAGATTTGGGTAGTGGTGGTATAATGGACGGGTTCAATGTATATTTCATAAGCAGATTTAATAGGGCTTAGTATTGCATTAGATATGGGGGTGAGGGAGAGTGAGTGTCAAAGAAGATCTCCCATTTCTGGCATAAGCAATTACTGAAATAAGGACAAGCAGATTTTGAAAGGAGCGAGGAGAAGAGATCAAGGGTTCAATTTTAGACATTTGAGATTACCCAAAGGGAATGTCTAATGGGCATGAAGCTTAAAGGACACTTTAGGTACTGAAGATACCAATCTATTACATCAACAGTATAGAGTATTTGAAGCTATGGCTTTGTATGAGATGGCCTTCTAAGAATGAAAAGAAAAGAGGGCCCCAGAACACCAACATTCATTTAAAAACAGGATTAATAAAAGCATTAACACCACATATCTTTATTTGGCATTCACTAATAAAATAAGTTCATGGTCTAGAACCAACCGTGTGCAGTATTAATGTAGCATATATTATCACAGTTGGAATATAAACCACTATTCACAAGTGATACTTCTTCACAGGTTAAAAAAAACAACAATCTACCAAAAGAGCACTGCGGTAATCTAAAACATGTCCACGAGTGCTGTGACAGTACCTTCAACAGGAGGAGCCTACTTCCCGGCCTAGAATTCCCACTGGTTTTAATGAGTCACTTCTAACAAATAAAATGAGATTGTGACCACAGAGTGAGACTTCAGAGACTAGATCATAAAAGGCAATTCTGATTCCACCTTGTTCTTTCTTGAGAAACCCACTTTGAGGGAAGCTAGCCACCATGTCATCAGGACACTCAAGCAGCCTCACCCAGAGGGCCATGTGGAGGGGAGCCGAGGCCTCCCGCCAGCAGCATGGGAGTGAGCCGGCATGCACATGGATGCTGCAGCCTCTGGGAGGCTTTCAGGTGACCGCAGCTTCACCAGCACAATTCACGAGACTCTACCCCAGACCCATCCAGGTAAGCCCCTGGTGGATTCCAGACTGTCAGAAAATGTGGGAGATCATAAATGCTTGTTTTAAGCTGCTAGGTTTTGGGGTAATTTGTTGGGTGGCAACAGAAAACATTCACTGCTATATAATATAGTCATTATAAGAAATCTGCGAAAATAATAAAAGGCCTAATCACTGTAAGTTATTGTACAGGCAACCAAAAAACAGAAGTCTGGAAAGCACAGTCAATTCAGAGCATAATAGGAGAAGTATAAGATAGTCACAATGCCCAAGGAACTAACTGGTAAATATAAGTAACACCTTTCTTTCAGAGGAGTAACCAAAAGCATGCTCTTTCCTTTAAAATTATCTCAACAAATAAGGTTCATTCTTGTGGGAAGAAAACCATCGCTAGTTCTACTTTCTATACTGTTAAACACATGCCCTTTAAGGTATAAGTTCCAGAAAGATGACGTCAATTTTATGTTCTAGGTAGAACAATTTTATG